GATATCTTCGGCTGAAGTTGTAAGACTAGCAGTCGAATGGAATGGAAGGGCATGAACTAGTTGGACTCTGTGTTGTTGTTCAATTTGCATGCCGTCTTTCTTGTACGAGCTTCATTTTGGATCATGTTTTTGGTTGTCTCTTGCCTTCCATTTGCCCGTTGAGTTTCATGACGTGGTGTGAATGGAAATTTTGGATCGGGTCATATAGTATCCACTGGAATTACGGATGATACTCTTGGAAGTTTTCTATCTAGAAGCAGCAACAATCTTCACTTTGGTCCAAGAATTGTTGCACAGAATCTAGGTTTTAACATTACCCCGAGTGATACAAAGTCCCCGGATACTACACATCGACTCCTAAGCCCGAGTCGTCTCTTACTGTACCGAGGTATGTCCAAATCAGCTGTGTAAACAGAAGAGTCGGCCAAGACCAAGATGTGTATGCTTGTATGGAGTTTGTTGAACACGAACAACGGGAAAGCTGGTCGTTACTCCATCGTGGCAATAGTAAAGATCTAGCAAGACAACGGAGTAAGGAGGCTTCTCTGTGTCACCACCAACTTCTATTTCTTTCACTGCTGAAGGACTCAGCTGAGCCACTGTTCCCGGCTACATAGCAACTTCTCAATGAAGACCATCCTCGCAGACAAGTTGAGAGCTTGACAGGTCCGGATTTATTATGACAGGGAAATATGGATATCCAGCACCAATAAACCCACAGCTTCTATTCGTAAGTACAGCCAACAGCAAGCACATTTAGTGACTGGGAGATGGACGTTGGTCGTTGCTCGTTGGTTTGTACGTGGTCTTGGAAGATGTGGGTGTTTATATACTTCAACAAAGAGAAGCCTTGAACAGAGGATGTCCGAGGGGCGAGGTATAGTTAGAATTAGGTGACCTGTAAACTGGAATTTTGGACAACGGAAGTTGAACTCGTGAATAGCAGATAAGGAGCACATTATGTTGAGAGATTTGGAGGAAGGAAAGTGGGTGAGGAAAGGATGGAATCCAGGGAGCAGAACTCGATATAGACAACATCCGGAGATTAATACGCTTGTCGACGACGCATGTGGTAAATCTGCCGGGAGCTTTCCTGGACATATACTTTAAAAAGCTGCGGTCAAATAGTCTAGACCAAAAAACCGTCACAAATCTGCCGTCCATGTCTTTATTATCCCTTCCGTCTCAAACCCAGGCCCCATATTTTCACATCACACCCATGGCACAAGTATTTGGAGGTTGCAAGATTTCATTGATATCTGTGGCAGTTCATTTGTTAACTGCTACAAACGCATATCCCATATCCATGCGCCCATCCCATCCGTAAAAGACCCAGCGTACAGCAAGTATTTACTTGAGAGGAATGAAACGGGAAGAGTGAGTGGCACCAATACCGGGTCTTCCGTGCTTGACTGGGTGGCTGCAAGAACATTAGCATGATGCTCCGAACCAAAACCCAACTTCATGGCAGGATTATACGTACTATGAGATGGAGAATTCTCCCAAGTAGTGTCCGACCATCTCAGGCTTGATTTCGACCTGGTTGAACTCCTTTCCTGAGTAGATACCGATAACGCTACCGATCATCTCTGGGACAACGATCATATTTCGGAGGTGAGTCTTGACGAGGTCTGGCTTCTCGTTGGGCTTGGCCTCCTGCTTCGCCTTGCGGAGCTTCTTGATCAAACCCATGGGCTTGCGCTTGAGACCACGGTTGAACCGACGGCGGGCACGGGCGTGGACGACATCGCGGAGCTGGTCGGAGGAGAGGTCGAGGAGCCTGTGGGTGAAGAATCGAGGGTTAGCTTATTTGCTCCCCTTTGTAATTCTCAAGACTTGGGTATGTATGTATATGTATGGGAGGCGTACTGATCGAGGTCGATTCCACGGTAGGAGAACTTTCTGAACGCTCTCTTCTTCTTGATCTCGGCGGCCTCAACGGCGTCCTGTTTGAGGAGAAGATGTCAGCATTTGCTCTTGAAGGTTTGGAAGGTACTCTGGCGCAAAGGGCGTCCGCGAGTTGCAGACGGGAGAAGAGGTCAATTGGTACTCACGTATTCGTCAGCCATGTTTGCGGTTGGTGTGAGTGTCGGCTTTCGATGCTTGTCGAAAGTCGAAAGTTGTTGCTGGCGATCGTGGGATGAGGTTCAAAAGCGTGGTGTGGATTTTGCCATTTCCTAGCGTCGGCGTCGCTCGCTTACTCATTAGCGCAGCAGCCCCGACAGGATGTTTAGTTAGGGCAAGAAGCCCCGAAGTCTTGGCACGACGACAGAACAAGGCTGATCAGCCTCGAAATGGGTTTGGGTTTGAGGAGCGAACTAGTTTTGCAATCGAACTTCGGGTTTGGCTTTATTTCTTCATTTCTAGGTGCCCAAGTTCTCAAGTTCTCAATTGGTTGCAGTTCACTTTTGTTGTAATTCCAGATGTCATCAGGCCCTCTGGAGAAGCCCTTTATCTACTAAACGTAGAGGCCGCTGTCAGGGACTACACTCCTGTGGCTCTTCCTTCATTAATCACAGTTCACATTTACAGCGCGGCTCATATCAAATAATCACACCCAGTATTGGAAGAAGCACGTCTTTATTGTGTTATGTAACCTGCATCCTTGGCATCTCATCATAGAAGGCCGTTAATCCGACCCAATTCCCATGACATGCAAATTTCCTGCAAAGCGCGCACAACTCCTCCCAAAAGCCCTGGCCGTTTGTCGTGAAGTATCGAGAGCGTGGCATCCGTGGAGAAAGAATTTGTTGTTTAGTCGAAAAGACCGAAACCCATATCCTCGTCGGACTCCTCCTTCTCTGTATGATGTATTAGTACCCATCGCAATCGTCTGCCAGGTGAAGAACGTACCCTCTTCCTTCTCCTCGGCCTTCTCCTCGGCGGCAGCACCACCTGAAGCAGCGGCGCCTCCGGCAGCTGGGGCAGCACCACCAGCTCCTCCAGATGGAACGGAAGCCAACTTGGATGATCCCTCGGTGATCAACTGTATACCCATTAGCCTCCATCGCGCATGTCCTCCTTAATTGTAGATTCCCATACCTCTTGGATGTCCTTGCCCTTGAGCTCAGAGATGAGGGTGGAGAGACGCTCATCATCAGCCTCAATTCCAACGGACTCGAGAACGGCCTTGATGTCGGATGCGGAAGGAGAGGTGTTACCACCGATGGTGAGGAGGAGGTAAGCTGCGAGGTGCTTCATTTTGGCTGCTGGGAGTGTATGTCAGTATTGGGGCGCATCGATCGGATTCCTTCGCGCGCAGACTCACATTTGGTTGTTTTGTTTTTGGGGAACAAGAGTATCAATCGATTTAACCGCTATTTGAGGCGGAGACTGAGACGTGATGTTCAAGAAGTTATCGTTGATTTAGATCTTGAAAAAGTTCGGAAGTTTGAGGTGGCCTAGCTTGTGGGAGGCTAGGGAGGCTAAGCGAATTATTAGCGCCAAAGTTCGCTCCAGGCCTTTGCTCATCTTCGCAACTGTTCTGAAGCATTAAAACAATGAATCGATACCGACTCGAGCGGAATGACTCTTAATATCTACTTTATTCAATTATTCTATAGAACTTTACGATGTTTGCGACCATATTTCAGTGCTTTTGTGTGGTGGAGTCCCTGGCCGAATTTCATCGAGTTGAGAAAGGTCATCATCCACTCATGATGAGGTAGGGCATTGCAGCTGTAAGCTGGATGGTAAAAATGGACCAGACCCTGGATTCCAACGGTGTCGTCAATACTGATATCTCTGTTCGGATTGATCCATAGAATTCTTTCGCGTCCTTAATTCGACCTCTACGCCCTTCCTCCGAAGTACTTTTCTCCACGGCCCTTTCCTCCTCTGGCTCGTCTGAGCGCTTGGACCTATGCAGTCGAACTTCAGACTGCTTACTATGTCTCAAAGATGTTAATGTCATATACCCAGACATTCAACATCAGCCAAATTCGAATGACTTCCGGATAGAACTGTGGAATTCAAGCTTTGGCTTCCATCGGGAAAGACAATAACCAGTATTTATCTAGCTTGCTTTATTTCTCGTCCGTCATGATAACTCCTAGAAGAAAGTAGCAATGTCTGTCGGTTTCAATGGTAGAAGTGTTGTCCTAGCTTCGAGGATACAGACTGATCTGATAGACTTGATTGTCCAGTACAGTACATCTTTGGGAACTTTGACCAGAAACTAGGCCAGGGATGCACTCGATTGATACAAAACAAGGGTTTCCTAGATTTAACCATTTTTTGAGGCCATTTCTTGAGCATTTAACGGATGAGAAGCAAAAGTATTGACTTTGACTGGAGTGGAAGATATGTGTACACTTAGTTGTGGAGGGAAGGAAGTTCAAGAGTGGTTAGCATCCCAGGATCGAAAAAGTTATTCTAAGCAGGTGTGAGATAGGTCTATTCGAGAATAAACGGAATAATCAAAAAGGTTATCACAGAGGTTCGAGAGAGCTGATGGTAGGAAAGTCTCTAGTCGAGATGCGGACCATTTGAGGAGGCGTGAAAGCAACCTCTGCATGCGGACTGATGAATTTGTGATACTTTGCCAAGACGCAATAATTGGGTACCTTGAGGCTTTACAAGTTTGGTCTTACATAAATATGTATGTTTTCGGATGTTTGAAAGCATACTTGGTTGTACACCCAGTTCTGGCAGATGGAGGTAATGGGTGAACTGCTGGAGTTTGCGGAGCTGCTGTGGCGGGGTCCTTAGCGTCGTTTGAAGACCTCAAAGCTGGTGACTTCACTTGACGATAACTCAACAACACCTTGATTAAACGATTTCAAAACTCTCACGACTTACAGGGGAGAAGTACCTCACAGTTTCTCTATCTCTTCTCGTGGATTGTGCAGTTGACTTAAAAGCACTTGGTTGTTCTGCCCCACCCGCTAATGCATAGGTAAGGTACGCAAGGTCCTTCGCTAGGGCACACATTTCGATTTCCACTAATTTTATTATTGATATATGTCGAAATAACACATCTCATGATATCCAATCATCTCGGGCGAATGGTTTAGTGGTATAATACCTCTTTAGCATAGAGGTGGTCCAGGGTTCGAGTAAGTTATTCTGAAAATTCACTTTGCAAGATGTATTCCTAACATTCAATAGTTCCCTGTTCGTCCAGTCTTCATGATTCCTTTTTTTGCCTTTTTCTCCTTTGGAATAAGTATTCATTTGGTAGAATAGCTCTGTGATACTTTTTCCTTTTTGTAACTCTGCGTCGCCGAAGTTTGGGTGGTGGGGTGTTTCCTGAGTGTACTACTGAGTGAGCATTAGCTCGGTTAGACACCTAGACACCATCCATGCAGTTAGACCATCACCATCACTTTTGCATGTTCTGTCAATACCTTTATTCTCATAGAGTTTTAAGTCATAAACCATTTCATTCATTCCCTTTGAAAAACTCCTAAGAAACCGGGTATCAAATAACATCAAACGAAAATCTACCATCTACGAGGTCCTCCTCCTCCACCGCCTCCGTGATGACCACCAAATCCTCCCCCGCCATGATGCCCGCCAGATCCGCCTGGTCCGCTTTGATGTCCACCAAATCCTCCTCCTCCTTGGTGACCTCCAAATCCACCACCATGTTGTCCCCCATGTTGTCCTCCGGGACCACCAGGACCTCCAAACCCACCACCGTGTTGTTGCTGTTGATGATGATGCCCACCTCCAAACCCTCCATGTTGCTGTGGTTGATGACCACCACCCATTCCCAGCATCCCACCACCTCCATAATGTTGTTGTTGCGGTGGCGGTGGCCCTCCCTAAAATAAAACAGTTAGAAACCCAAACAAGATGAACAAATCAATCAGGGAGAATAAAGGGAGAGTTACATATCCGCCAGGCTGTTGCTGTTGATTCCCACTTTGCATCTTCTTCTTGATCTGCTCCTCGGCCTTATGCATGACTTTCTCCATGAGACCCATTTTGTATGTCGTCTTTCTTATCTTGAGATGTAGGTATTATTCAAAGTAGTAGAGTAGTAGAAGCAGAGACTGTTCAACCTGAAGAGATGAGAAAAGAGGGTCAAGTCGTAGATATTGAGAATTTGATAAGGAAAACATTCAAGGCCAGCCCAGCCCTACCTTATGTACCCCATCTCAAGATAAACTCTCCACAGTACTGTACAAATGACGACGGGTCCCATATGACAAGCCACTCCGTACCTACCCTGCACACGCAAGTTGAACCGTCGACACGCGTACCTTTGTGGCTTGCCCATCTGGATGTCATGGATGGGATGCCGGGCATGTTTCGCTTTTTGACGGCCGGTCCGGCCCCACTTGAGGTTTTGAAGCATTGATGCTCTGGCAGACTTTCTTCAACTTGTGGCTGTGCGAGACGGGAGAATGACGGAAGTTCAATATTTAAAACTTGAGGACAGGAATAGCATCAATAAGTCCAAAGGGTTCTTGTCGGCCGACTTAATTGATTATCCCGGCCGGGTGATGAATGTTCTGAAAACCTTCGAGAATTTTACTGCAGAAAAATCGGCACCAGCTCGCATAAAGTCTTGGCATTTATCTCCTACCAAAAATCTCACGCTCACGTGCATCACTTCAAATCATCAACAACAGCACGATCAAGATGTCAGCGTTCAGCTTCTCCTTCTCAGGGGACGACATAGAAGACACGCTAGTCACTGATGTCTCCCCAGAATCCGTACTACGAAGCCATGCCGCCGAGACAGGAACATTACAGCGAGCTATACCTACCAGCTCAGCTTTCCCCATCGCGGGCCAGCCTCTGCTGCAACCACAGACGCATGATTTGCAGACTATGCTGAGAGCGCTGCCGTCAAAGATTGTGTACAGTACGTTAATCATCAAGCTGGATGATGGGACGAAGATCTCTATCCCAAGGAGAGAGCTGTGGGATGTGAGGGTCCAGCTCATGGCCGAGGAGGACGATGAAGGGCTGGGGAATCTGGGGAAGGATGATGTGAAGACGGGGGTTTATGAGGGTGGGTTCAAGAGTTGGGAGTGCTCGGTTGATGTAGTCAAGGTGCTGCATGGGAGGAAAGAGGATGTTGGCTTCTCTGGAAAAGTTTTAGAGGTACGAATTATTGGGGATTCTTGGTTGATGAGTAGGGCTGACGAGACTAGCTGGGATGTGGAACTGCTCTCCCTTCTCTAGCTGTTTTACAATGGTTACTAGAAGATCCTAATTCAACAGGCGCACTAAATCTTGGTCTTGCAGACTACAACCCGACTGTTCTCCAGCTCGTCACGCTTCCGAATATCCTCCTATCTTGGGCTCAAGTCACCCGAAACGATTCATGGGAAGCCGAGGGCGAGTTGGACCTTGACGAAGAAGTCATCAAAGAGTTCCTTGCTTCTCTTGAATCACACCATGTCAGGCTGTCGTTCTTCTCTGGTGCATGGAGTCCAGAATTCGTTGGCCTTGTGAAGGAGGACATGAGCTCCCTTGAATCCCGGCTCACGATCGTTGGAGCCGAGACCATCTATTCACCAGCCGCATTGAAGTCTTTTGCAGAAACTCTAATGAGTCTTCTGGGAAGTATGCCAGACGACGAGAGAACATCATTGGTTGCAGCGAAGAAGGTTTATTTCGGTGTTGGCGGCTCGATGGAGGACTTCTGCGAAATGGTACGCTTACAAGGTGCTACCGTCGGTCAGATCAGAGAGGAATCAGATGGAGTGCGGAGGGCTGTCGTTGAAGTCAAGATGCCGTCGAACTGATTGGAGAATCTCACATCTATTCAGACGCCAAGGATACACATTGATGCAAGGCTACCGACGACTCCGCATCGAGACAATTCTCGACCTCGACCTTAAATCTTATATCCGAATGATTGCTGCTTCGCTATTCTTAGTTATTGTAGATTCCCAATTAGAGTTTCTCTGCTTTAGCTCTGGGGCGCGACCAGACACCAGGGACAAATCTGATGGCGGACATAACGTACCTCACCCGCTAAGCCGCGGCCTAGCCTCGCTCCCCCGCACGAGGCTGATAACCCCCTTTTCGACTGCTGCGGATGTAGTGGAAACCCTCGGTATCGGGCTTTTGCACAGTTCTACCCTTCTGAAATGCATCCCGGCTGTCATGTTCCGCCATTCCACAGACCGCATTGTCATTGTGCTACGAGAGAGAGAGCTACCAAAGCAGGGAATGGATAGTTGCACGGCTAGCCAGGTTACATGTACCTTTCTCGATCGGGCAGAGGGACCCCTCATTATTGCCCCTCACCCGCCTGTAACAGCTACACACCATTTCCTAAACTAGGACCTTGGTGTGCCGGTCAAAGTATAAATGAACTCCACTGTTCCCTTGTCAGCCAGACTTTCCTTTTCTCCTTCTCTCAGTTACAAAGATCTAGTGAACTCGAAAGCTGCCTTAGCTACGTTGCACTGACAACTCCATCACTTATCTAAATTTCTTATAAAGAGTCCTCCTGCTTTACTTCCATTCTCTCCTCCTTCATTTCATCTCACGTCCTACTTACCTTTCAGCAACCCAATCAACATGGCAGAACCATCTACTGAAGGTTACGCCCAAGGCTGGCTCGAGGTATCTACCCGCTTCTATGTTACCCCTCCAGGGCTCTACTAACTCACCTCCAGTACGAGAAAGTCCTCGGTGGACGCCCCCTCCTCACAGGAACCTCACAAGACATCATCGACCAATTCAACGGTCTGGGCGCCAGTCTCGCAGCTCAAGCTCCTCCCCCCGATACATCCATCATAACCGAAGACACCACCGCCGATGGGGTCCCCGTCCGCATCTACACACCTCCAGGGGCCAGCGGCAAGAAACTCCCCGTTGGTGTGTACTACCACGGCGGTGGATGGCTGGTAGGTAGTCTCGACTCTGAAGATGCATGGTGCAGAGTGATCTCCAAGAATACACCATGTATTCTCATCTCAGTTGACTACCGTCTCAGTCAGACCGACAAATGGCCCGCTCAACTGGACGACAGTCTCACTGCTTTTAAATGGGTAAGTTCCTCCCTCCTTCTCCTCCCCCTCATTCTCCTCTCCCTCCTTCTCCTACACTTCCCCGGATACGATCAACTCACAACCAAACAGGCCCGCAACAACGCCTCCAAATACGGCGGCGACAGCTCCAAGCTCTTCACAATCGGCGCCTCCGCCGGCGGCGGCCTCTCCCTCATCGTCGCCAACGAACTCATCAAAGCCGGGGCAGGTTCTCAAATCCAGTAGGTATCACAGGGGGGGGGAGGGGGGGGGGGGGGGGGAACTTTCCCTTTGGAATGTCTCAAGATCCCTCAGAGACATATCTTATCATCTTCTCGAGACATCCTCGATTTGGCAATGGCTAACTCCCCCGTTCCCAATAGAGGCATCGTCGCCATGGTCCCCGTAACCGCCCACCCCGACTCCATCCCCTCCGCCTACAAATCCCAATACAAAGCCTACACCGAGAACGCCAGCGGAGTCCCCATCATCGACGCCAGCAGCATGGAGACGTTCTTCTCCGCCGCGGGGGTGCACCCGCACGACGAGAAAGCCTTCGTGTCACTGAGCAAGAACCTGAAAGATTTCCCGCCGACGTATATCAGTACGTGCGGAAAGGACCCGTTGAGGGATGATGGGAGGGTTATGGAGGAGATGTTGAAGAAGGAGGGGGTGAAGACCAAGAGCGATTACTATGATGGCGTGCCGCATTATTTCTGGCTTTTCCCGGGTGTGGAGCGCGGTGAGGAGTTTTTGATGAATGTTTGTGAGGGGGCAAAGTGGGTTACTTCTCAGTAGGCTGTGATGGGATGGGATTGAGGAGATTTTTTTATGCGTTTTTCTAGGACTTTTGAGGACTTTGTTGTGGAATAGTAAAATAAACGCTTTACTTTAACTGAACTTGTGAAGTTCCCGTTCCTCCGTTCTAGAAGGACCAAGGGGGAAGCTTGCATTCTGTGATAATTCACTCTGAGCAGAGGCTTGACCGAGTAATGTGTTGGCTTGAGCTAAGGTCTAGTGACCATGTGGCAATTGCAACTCACCAAACACCACGGAGTCAAAACTCCATTGGGGTTGGTTTCTTTCACGCACTCCAAGACAGAGTCTTTGGTTTATACTATTTATGAC